CACAAAGCAGGGAAGATACATAGCCAAGCAGTCAAGGGTGATGCTGCCATAGTTTCATATGCCATATTCTCCCTACCAGTCACTTGAATTGCAGACATAATACATTTTTATTCATCTGAGTAACCCACTTATTTATTCAATAAATATTTATTGAGCCCTTACTATGTGTGAGGTCCTGTGCTTGCAGTGAAAAACTGATTCATTGGTGCCAATGCATGCTTTGAAGAGGCACATTATTAAGTCTGCAATCCCTGCCCCTGCTAACTCCCAATATGAACAATCATTCAGAAGGAAACCTGTATAGGGAAAGGATTAGTTTGTCCTTTAACATGATGAGAATTCTAAGGATATCAGAACCTATGAGTAAATAAAACGAGAATGGAGAAGCACCCAAAACAGTCAAAGAGATAACCTTTTTGTTTTTAGCCTACATGCTAGAATGTGATGAAAACAAGGACATTTTGTCAATGGTTTTAAGTAAACACACCTGTTGTTTGGTTAACCAAGGAATCCCACGATATAAGACGATTAGGGGTAGATAAAATAGACCCTAAAGTATGGAGTGAAGACAGAGTATAAAATCCAGATAAAGAACATAATTCAGTGGGTGCCAATCACAGCACCACCACCACCACAAGCGCCCACGCTAGCCTGGTATTCTGTGCTTTTTATCATTTTGCAGGTGAGTGTTGTGAACATTATTTAGGTAAGGCATCCCTGGCTGGCAACCTGAGAAAGTCTTCACACCTCCATTCCTGACCCACCACTACACACACAAAACACATGCGCCTGCTTCCTGAGGCAATCAGGACAGTGGGAAGAAACAGAAAGCTGGGGCCTTGTGGCCAGAGAGACCTGTGATTAAAGCTTGTCCCATCCTGACCCTTACTAGATACATCACATAGTTCCCTAGTGAACTTGTCTGGAGCCAGGCCTATGGACCTCTTAACTTAAACCTTGATGTTAAATCAGGGCGGGAGGGTTATAAATTCCGAGCTCTGTCTTACAGACTTCTAGAGTGCCCATGCCCAGGTAGTCCGTGCTTTCCTTGGCCTACTTCCTGTGTTTTTTTGATTTGCTATTTTCTCTGCACTAACAGATTTTGAGCTCTGTTCTCCCAAAGGAAGACTCTCAGCATCTGATTTGAGTTAGATGAGTTAAGACCCATGAAGACAGGCAAATAGCACTAGTACCAGGTTATTATAGAAAAGAGAATGGACCCAGGGTGGCAAATATTTTAAATGGCATTCCAAATAGTCCCTGTGTCTAGAATGTGGGATCAGCGCAATGGACATACTTGACAGGTGGGTTGACATCATACTGTACAGGACCCTGAAGGCCAGGCTAACCAGTCTGGATATTGTCTGTAGAAAACGTAAATTCCAATGGAGATACGGCTCAGTAAAGGACTTGATGGGGTCCTAAATTCAGATTTCCAGCACTCATGCAAAAAGCCCAGCATGGTGGCATGCATCTAGACACCCAATACCAGTGACAGGGAGGCAGGTAGATATCATCTTTCTAAGAAAAAAAAATATTTGGTGAACAGCAAGATAGATAGATGGTAAAGGAGCTCACTGCCAACACTGAGAATTTGAGTTCAAGGCACAGGGACCCTGTGGGGGAAAGAGGTAACTGACTGTTTCAGGCTGTTCTCCGGCTTCCACACACACACTATGGCATGTAACCCCCCTCCCCACACACACAAATTTAACTTTAAAAACCAATTAAAATATAAGCTGGCAAATGAACGAGGAAGAACCTCCATGTTAGCTTCTGGCATTTATATGCATACCTGTGTGCACAGGTAGGTATATACTCATGAACCCACAATCCACATACAACACACGATGGGGGAGGGGAGTCACAGAAGCTGTGTGAGCAGATAACAATGTGGCTGAAGCTCCCCAACTTTTATTACTGGTAAACCTGGTGCTTCCCTTCATAGTGCTCCCCATATAGGGTGCCAGTAGCTCCTTCCAAGGTCCCTGAGTTGAATCCTTACTAACTCTACTTGAAAGTCCATATGTCCCTTTTAGAATATGCCTCAGCTTCTTCCCTTTCCTGTCCAAACATTTTGAGGGAAATCATGGTGATGTCATGAATGACTGGCACAATTTTAATCCAAAGATAGTTCAAGCTTTCCATAAAGCGGCTTATAATTTGTGCTAGTTATCCATGCTCCTGAAGATAGCATTACAAGCGCTCACCTGTTCCCATAGGAATGGCCATTCAAAACGTATCACTAGCAGCCTACAATTTTGTAAAATTGGGTAACTTTCAGACACACTAACAGAGTTCCCAAGAGCAGAGATATAAAAGATCATAATACATTTCAGAATTAGGAGATTATGTCACACATACCCCTTAGAAGGGGGAGCAACGTCCCAGCCATATCTTAAATGGTTTCCTAAAACACTACGAACCAAAATGAATTCTCTGCAAATTTACAGAGGCGATAAATCATGCACGTCCCAAACATGTCATTTATTGAAGGTTATTTGCTGCTTTCTGCCTCCGAACAGTTCAGCTGTGTTTAAATGATGTACATCACCATTTTGCTTATTTATCCTATGCAGGGGGCGAAAAAAGCAACACAGAGAAGTGGGAGTGAGGAGGTGCCGGACAAGTATGAGCAGGGAAAGAAGCCACTGAGAAAGGTGCAGACAAAAGCCAAGATGAGAGAGTGGAGACGAGAAACAGCCTCTGCCTGATTAACAATATATACAGCCTGGTGCCAAGGTTGCAAATTACCAGACAAGTTAGATGCACTGGGCTCACTAGAATGAATTGTTAGAAATATGGCTGAAAATGGTAGTGTTACTGCTCTTAACCAGCTCAGAGTTCAGATGAGGAGCCTGGTAACTAAACAAACACATAACTGAAAAACAGGGGCTGTTGAAAGCTGAGGAGCCTACAAGGGGCAGGAAGGGTTCTTGAGAAATGTGCTATTTGGGTTCCTTTAGGTGTGCCAAGGAGCCTCTTTGGATGTCAACTTCAGAAGTGGTGGTTATATCTGGCTGCCTATCGCTAGCAATTATTTTGAGATTAAATGAAATCATGAGTGAAAATCCACTCTGCAAACTCAAAGTCCCACACTAAAGCATGGCAAGGCTATTTGCTTGGACCATTTGAATAACAGGCTGTGTATTAGTTCTTAGATTGCCTGCTGGGAAACTATGCTGTATGAGGGACATCCTGTCCCTTCAGCATCCCTGCCCTTCCGGCATTCTATGCTCTAGTACAACGAATCCTGCTTCCTGCTTGATATTGGCACAACACATATAACATATAACCTGGAAAATAACATGAAACACTCACCAATGTCCAGTCGTCTTCATCCTTGTCCACACAAAGCGTCCCCAGAATGAGGGCCCTGTAACCTTTGGACTGCCTCTCTGCTAGAACTGAGAGCCCTGCCCTCTTTCTTTCTCTCATCCTTGTCTCTCTCTTCCCTGTCTCCATCAATTCTTCTTTTGCCTCCTCCCCCACTCCTCTTTACCTGTTTGAGATATCTCGCAGTTTCGCCCGGAACACAGTGAATTCGCAGATCTTCTGGGATACCCAGGTCAGGAGCAGTGGGAAGGGGTGCTGTTTACATTGAGGCCTGTCCGCCCCCGCAGCCCCGAAGTTCTCTGTAAGAGATTTATCTGATGTTGTGGCTCTCTCTCCCTCTCCCCTTTCCCCCTTCCCGGTCCCGTACTTTCTATTCCTTACCCTCTTTCAAAGCTATCCTTTCTTCTCTCTCTTCTCCTCTAACCAGCTTGCTTTCCCTTTTCTTCTGATTCACCCTTGTTTCCCTAGCCCTGTACCTTTTCTTCTCCGAGTAGTCCATATCCCACTTCTTTTTCCAGTTTTGACCCACCCACTTACTCTCTCTTAGCCCCACCTCAACCTTCTCATCCCTCCCCCACCCTTTTTCTGTTGCACATGCTGGGGACACTGACAAACTTCTCCCTGTGCTGCTGTCCCAGGAAGAGAAGCAGTTCCAGCCTCCCACAGCAGCTGATGACCTCACTGAAATTTCGCAATGTGATTGGCTACTCTAGGGCCCTGTGGCGGGAGATCTTGAAAAGATGCTTAGCTGGTTTCTTTGTCCCTCCGCTCTTTCAGTTTGGGTTGGGGCTGTGAACCCCAGACACTATTGTATTTCACAACAGAGTATAAAAGCGATCTAGTTCTGAGAGAGGTTGTGACCATTGCCTGGGTGACAAGGTTTGGTGGCATCAGAGGAAGGCACAGACTCAGTGAGGCAGAGACCTGGGAACCTAGCGTGAAAAGTGAAGAGAATCTAAACATCTCATAGAAAGTTAGAATCTGGAAAGCTGTATTTCAGTCTCCAGTCTCACCTTTGATCTTTCTTCAATGAGGAGGCTCTCACCTTGAAACATAGAGCTGCGGATTTGAAGCCAGGCATTTCCTTTCTAGTCTCTACTCAATTTGCATGACTTTGGGCAAGTTATTTCATTCTGCTCCCACTTGGCAAAACAGGAGTGATGACACCACCGCTTTTTATAGGTTTAGTGAAAGAAATAAATGGGAAAATATGTTTTAATGTTCAAACCTGCTGTTGTGTTAATATATAACGTGGTACAACAAAAAAGAACCCTGGATAAGGAGTTTATGATGTGTTTTGGGTTTTTTGTTTTCTTTTTTTTTTTTCCCCGTTTTTCATTTTTCAGTAGTGATCCCCTCATGATCTTTTGTGGGAGTCTTTGTCCTTATCTGTGAATTGGGGGAGCTGGACTGAATGGTCTCCAAGGTCTGTGGCTCTAACACTATGTGATTGACAGATAAAACTTAGCTCCCTCCTTTAAATGGCCTATCGGAGAAAAGTTCTTTCCTTTTTCAGAACTCTTGCTAACGTCTCACTTTCCCTCAGGTATGCTGGCGAAGCCACTTTCTGTAGGGGCCTACCCCTCCCCCCCCACAATGAAAGTGTAGACACGAACTATAGCATTATGCACAGGGTTCATCCTTGATGGAGATTCTCTCCCCAGGCTACTGGCAGGAGCAGGATTTGGAGCTGGGAACTCTGGCTCCACTGGACGAGGCCCTCAGCTCCACAGTCTGGAGCAACCCTGACCTGCTGGCCAGTCAAGGTGAGAAACCAGGCCCTTCATCTCAACGTTCTTCAGATGTCTCACTCATCCTCACACCATCTCCCACTCATGGCACTCCACCCCATGTCCTCGCTCCACTCATCACCACACAGCTTTCTCCTTCTCATCTGACGTTTAGCTCTTAGCTCTGCACCACCACCTCCCCATGCACCAACTCCCTCCTTCACTCTGGAACAGAGACCTCTGAAACCCTACACAGCTTTCCAAAAATAAAATGCCTCCAGAGGAGCAGCTTACTCAAAACAGAGAGAGGTCCTGGAGAGGCACTGGCAAAGAAGAATTCTTCAAGCACGACAAGGACAGAGGGTTTAGAGGTTGGAAACTGATATACGTCTGTTTGCAGATGAACAGCCTCAGATGCCTTCCATTGAGAAATCTTGAGAAAATTTCCCTTCCAAATTTGCTCAGTGACTACACGAAAACCTCAAATGCAATCACAGTTCTCCATTCAGAGGATCACTTTAGGAAGAACTCCAGTGAAAACAGCTCTTTGTGGAGGACAGAACAGAGTTCCAGTGTCGAGAACTAGCGGATTGATCTTTGGAGTCTGCTCACCTCTGTTGCCTTGTTGCCTGTACCTATGAAATGGGGGAATTGGATTCCTGCTCCCAGTTCTAGCTTTCACAATTCTAGGTAGTATTAACAATCAGGCTTCACACACCAATTTGGAGACTACCACCCTTAAAGGGGTGTCTTGCCTGGCATAATTTCCAGTATGCTTTTCTGCTCTGCTAAGATCATGCAGGGTGTATTTCTTGAAGATGGAGGTCAACTGACTAGGAAAGTAGGAAATAAGTAGGCAGAGAAGGGCAAAGGGAGCATCGGATGTTTTTATAGTGCTTTGTAGAGGTTGTAGTAAGCATTTTTTTTCCTGGTTTCCTGTTGAGCCATGGGTTGAGGAATTCTGTGACAGAGAACAGACTTTTGGATGTTCCTGAATCAGAGCATGGAGATTATTTTACATTAGTTCTGAGGAGGTCATTGCCTTTGGGTCACTAAAAGTGATTCTGAAGATCAGGGAATCAATATTAGGAATCAGAGTCCATGCTGTGGGGACTTAGCACAGTGCCTGGTGGGGAAAACAGGTGTCCATATTGGAGAGGTTCACAGCTAGGCTGAGGAGAAGGTTCATTTGGCATTCAATTGGTTTGTATATAAAAATAGAACCTGGATTTTTTTCCTTCTTCCCTCCTTCCCTTTCTTCCTTTTCTTCCCCTTCCCTCCTTTCTCCATGTCTTCTCTTTCTCTCCCCCCTTCTCATTTTGACACAGGGTGTATGCAGTCCAAGTTGGCCTCAAACTCAGTAGCCAAGGACACCCTACAACTTCTGCTCCACCTGTCTCTACTTCCTGAGTAATGGGATAACATATGTTTTCCATCACAGGCAATGTGGTGGAGATCCAATCCGGGTCTTCATGCATGCTAGGCAAGGACTCTCTCACCTGAGCTTGTGTTTTGTTCAATTTCTGTAAGGAGAGAAGAGTTAGGAAACATGTTTCCAGCACACTGGGAGAAAATGTCAGTCTTTTCACTCTTTAAATAATATCGGGGTGGGGACTTGAGTTTGGATTTGGGGAGACAGGCAGACCTACCAGAAAGAGAATGAACAGTTGGATGCAGTTTTGCATGTTTATAATCCCAGCACTTAGAAAGCAGAGGCAGGAGGACTTTGGCAAATTCAAGGCCATCTTGAATACATAGTAAGTGACAGGCCTGCCAGGACTGCATAATATGACCTTGTCTCAACAGCAGCTACAACAACTAATAATAATGGGAACATGCGGTGAGAGATTTGATGATTGGATGAAATAATTGCTAGAAAAAAATTAAAAATATGTTAAAATGTTTCAATTTTTAATTTTATATTGTCTGCTTTGCTCTTATTGTAGAGATTAACGTACACACCAAGGACTGGTTCAGGCTTTACCCCATTATAATTTTGATTATTAGTCACAATTGCTTCCACTTTGCTCTTATAATAGGTGGTAACAGAAAGGCAAAACATAGAATGACAGATGTGTATGTGTGTTCTCAACGACGAATGGCAGAACCGTATGTAAAAAGACACATGTGGAGTAGTATGTTCAGATCTGGGTGCCTTTATCCTTTCGGTGTTTGTGACCCTGTCCGCTCATCCAACATTCAACAAGGGGTGATGCTTTCTGTGTATCCAAAGCAAGAGAAGATGAGGTCTGTCTCCCTTCCCTGCCACCACCACCTCTGTTCCTTCACTAATGAAGCCTTAAGCCTTGGGTAGCCTGAATTAGATAAGGTGGACTGTGGCGCAGTGATGGGCAGACATCCTCAGGGATCCTCAGAAAACTAACTCTACTCTGCCTCTGCAGATAGCCAGCCCTGGACATCCGATGAGACCGTGGTGGCTGGCGGCACGGTGGTGCTCAAGTGCCAAGTGAAAGACCATGAGGACTCATCCCTGCAGTGGTCTAACCCTGCCCAGCAGACTCTATATTTTGGGGAGAAGAGAGGTAGGGGCCCAGAGGCTGAGGGAAATCCTCTGTGTAGTCCAGAGAAACATGGGGTGTGTTATTTGAAAAAAAAAAAAAGCAACGAATTGAGAGCTCCTTAGTTGTTTACAGAGAAAAACGAATCTGTGTGTCAGCTGTGACCTCAGCCATGCTTAGTCTTATAGGGTCTGGGAGTAGTTTCACCACAAAGAAAAACTTACGAGAGCTGACATCAGGTAACACCAGGCCTTTCCTAAGTAATTACATAAGACACAGACTATAATACTAGCTTCTTAAGCAACTATGCCTAGCGACAGAATGATTCTGTCTTAATTCAGAAGTCATTTTGTTTTGTTTTGTTTTTTTTGATTGTTTGTTTGTTCTGTTTTTTTTTTTGTCCTCCACCCACACTCCTCCACCTATCCTTTCCCCTTAATGATATTAGCCCAGGAATGGAGGGTGAGTATGCAAGGCACTGGTAGACTCCTGACTCTCAGTTCTCCTGATTTTCGCCAGCCCTTCGAGATAACCGGATTCAGCTGGTTAGCTCCACTCCCCATGAGCTCAGTATCAGCATCAGCAACGTGGCCCTGGCAGACGAGGGCGAGTACACATGCTCCATCTTCACTATGCCTGTGCGAACCGCCAAGTCCCTCGTCACTGTGCTCGGTGAGGCTCCCAAACCCCCGTGTCTCCACAGCATGCTGCTTTGCAAACAAACCTCCCTCAGTCAGTCCCCAAAGCTTCCCAGAACCAGGCAGGCCTCCAATAATATCAGAAAAGTTCTGCACGCTTCCCTTTAAAATACGAGGAAAACAGAGTTCTGTTCTGCAGCGCTTACTATTTGATCTGGAGCAAATCTCGTTCTTTAAACATAAACTTCATAATTTATAGCAAAGAATGGTCATCCCACATCACTCCCAAAATTATATGGGAGAAGCGTGAGATCTATACGCCATGCCCAATTCTAACTTCCGAGAACACGTTGTTTAGTTGTTCGAGTACACTTACCGTGATGCTGTGTTCTAATTTCTATCTCTCCTCTCTTATGCCTCTCACAACCTGTGTGGTCACCTCCCTGCACTCTGGGCTACCCAGTCACTATCATCCTTTAAGCATGGCACCCTCATCCCTCTAGCTGTCCTAAGGAAGACTTATCCTCAGGAGACAGATTAAAGGGAATGTTGACTCGTTTATACTTCTACCCATTTTATGAACCAAAGTAAACCCCAGATGCCCTGACCCTTATAGAGGACATATCTATAGGGAGAGCTTGAAGTGTGACTTCATGGTGCCTCTCCGTGCTATCCTGGACATCCCCTATGCATGGCAGGAATCCCACAGAAGCCCGTAATCACCGGTTATAAGTCGTCATTGCGGGAAAAGGAGACAGCCACTCTCAACTGTCAGTCTTCCGGGAGCAAACCTGCAGCCCAGCTCACCTGGAGGAAAGGTGACCAAGAACTCCATGGTGAGTAGCTCCTGCTGTGGGGTTACAGGAAGGCGGTGGTGCAGGGAAGGGGTGGCGGAAGTATGTTTAGACATGACATGGAAGAAAGAGTGAAGATGAAGAAAGCGAAAGGCAGATTATGTTGTATATGTGTGTGTCAGGCTCTACATTCTCTTTACACAACTATATCCATTTGAAAAACTTTTAAGTTTGTCCTAGAAAGACTCGGAATCCGTAGGGAGCAGACAGTATCTGTATGTTATGATAATGTCTATCTGTGTACACTTACAGTGTCTGTGTGTGTGTGTGTGTGTGTGTGTGTGTGTGTCTGTCGCTGCATTCCAGGGGAGCAAACACGAGTCCAGGAAGATCCCAACGGGAAGACCTTCACCGTGAGCAGCTCAGTGTCCTTCCAGGTTACCCGGGAGGACGACGGAGCAAACATCGTGTGCTCCGTGAACCACGAATCTCTCAAGGGAGCTGACAGATCCACCTCTCAGCGCATTGAAGTTTTGTGTATGTCATGGGCTTTGGGGTGAGAAGGACCAGGTGTGAGATAGGGAGTGAAGAAGAGAAAAGTGCTTCCAGCTGCATGCGTAGAAGCAGCATGGGCAGTTAAGGCAGCAAGCAAGGCTTCAGGAAAGAGGCCCTGTAGTAAACGCTGCAGGCAGGCGTGGAGAGCTGAGGTCTCTGTCTCAGTGTCTGCTTGGGCTGCAGGGGAGCAGCCACAAAGTGTAAACAGCTGGGTCGGGCTAGAGTACAATAAAACTTTATTTATAAAAGCTAGCAGCTGGCAAGGTTTGGCCCACAGGCAAAGTTTACCAGCCCTTGGGCTACAGTGGTGAAATGGCACTAGACTGTAAGCGGTGGGGGTTACAGTCACGGGGCCTTGGGGCATAGTTACCAGTCTGCACGGCACTCCATGCGGGTTGGGTGATGGGCAGACAGCTCTCCCCACTCATCTGGGTTGTTTATTTGCAAAATGAGAGAGGTGATGAGGTTGGCCATCATCGCAGCCTCTGCTCACTCTAACATTGTGTGCAGTCAGGAGGCGTGGGTCAGAGAGAAGCACAATCCTCTCAAATGTTGGCACATTCCGAGGGCTTTCACCTCCCAGTCATTTCTCTGTTTGCCCCAGTGTCGCGCTTCAGCTTGGGGTTCCGATCTAACACGGCCAGTTGTCAGGGCTGCTGCTACGTCCTTTCTCTACACCTCTTCATCCTCCTCATGGACTCTGCCTTTAGTAACAGTAGGGAATGTCTGAAGAGGTTAGAATATTTGTAAATTTCTCATCTGAGGAAATCTGGAAGCTTTTTCATAGGAACTTTCCTGTATGGAAAGTAAAAGGAATAATTGACCTGTGCAAGTTTGGAGGCATATATGCAACAGTACATTTCTTTTCCTAATTTACCAAAAGATTGGGAAATTAAAAAAAAAAAAAAGAAAAACATAGCTAGAGCTTTTAATCTCCTTATGGAAGACACAAGCTGATTAATTTCCTAACCCCGGTGCCATTTAATCAGTAGCTAGACCCTTTATTCAAACTTTAGCATGAGTTAATTTTGGACAGTACCATGGTCCGTTTGGATGACACTCAATCAGCAGGCTCATGACAAGCCTTCTAGCCATACTGATACAGACAAGCTTCATTGCCTTGACCAGAGCATATAATCTCTCTGCGAGCCTGAGTTATGCTGAGAGTAAGTAGAATAATATACACAAAACTACCCTGAGTTATGCTGAGAGTAAATGGAATAATACATACAAAATAACTCTACAAACTTTCAAGCTCTAAATTGCTGTAAAGTGTTTCTGTATTTACTAGTTCCAAGTGTGAGGCACTGAGCCTTGGGCAGTTCCCTTGATTTCTGGTTCCCTGGCCATAACTGAAACATACTTTTATGCCACTGAAGTCCCAAAGGGTCCTCTCTTAGATACCAGGCCATCTGGCTATTACTCTCCAGGGTTCCCTTTGGCTTGTGGTCAGCAATCAGTCAGCCTTCCAGGTGCTATGCTAGAGGTTTCTTTAGCTGTGAATCTCTGGAATACCCATTCGCTCACCTGGCCTGGCTCTTTCTGTCCTGTCTGATTTAACTGAAGCATGTTCATTAACTGCTTGTTAAGGTTGGCTCTGTCCTTGGGGAAAGTGTAGCCTCTTTATCTGTGGTTCCAAACCAGCATCTGGTCACATTGTTCTCAGCCACCATCTGGACCCAGCCTCCAAAGCAGTCTTTTGGCATCAATGACAGATGTCATTATTCCCTCACAGGCCCATGTATATTGTCTCAGGCCTTTTTTTTTTTTTTTTTTTTTTTCAGCCAAAATATGACCCTCACCCCTTACTGTTTCCGCGCTCTCATTCCATGTTTGGACTGACTATTCAAAGCAATGTTTTGTGTTCAAGTGTTGCTTTCACTCCTAAGCCCCCTTGCAGAGCAGACAGAACTGAAAGGTTGTGAACTCAGTCAGTGTCAAGTTCACTTTCTTTGTTCATTTAAAAATATGTATTAGGCCCTGTGTATGTGCCAGGCACTTTCGCTAGGCATGAATAAACCATGGGTTCTCCCCAGCTCTGCCGAGACAGCCTGTAGGCCCTATGGAGGGCAGCCTGCCTGGAATGCAATCACTCAGAGGTTGAGTTGCAGCGGGTTGCTCTTACAGTGGATGGCAGTCATAGTCTGTGTTCACAAGAGCCAGGGGGAGGAAGGTCTTGTTTGCAGCCTCTCGAACTGCTGAGGCTTTGGAGGGCGGAGTCTGTAACATGTAAAACAGGCGATTCCAAGGGTTTAGGGATCTCCCAGGCAGAGTGGGGAGTTTTGTGCTGACCCCTGTGCTTCTCCGCAGACACGCCGACAGCCATGATTAGGCCGGAACCTGCTCATCCTCGTGAAGGCCAGAAGCTGTTGTTACACTGTGAGGGGCGTGGCAATCCAGTGTAAGAAGAGCAGCCTGTGGTCTCTGACATCCCCTCCATACTCTCAGACAGCCATCCTCACCACACAGCTTCCCTCCACCCACCCCCTGTCAAGGCATAACTCCCACTCCCCTAACTGCACAACAGCGCCTCTCCCTTATATCTACCGCAAAGCAGCAGAAGCAGGGTTGGAACATTCTTCAGCTCAGCTTCCTTGTTTCCCCTAAGGAACAAGGCCACAATAAGATACGGATCAGAACATCTCTACCTTCTCCAAACTGTACCCAGGACTGATACTCCCCCCCCCCACTCCCACCAATACCCACCCTTTGGCTCATATAGCATCTTAAATGCAGCTTAGCATCATCATACACCTCCTGACTATCCTGTTACCTGTTCATCTTAATTCCTCTGGTCCAGGCTATCCCAAGAACATCTCATCTTTTTTATCTTGATAGCCCCCAGCAGTACCTGTGGGTGAAGGAAGGCAGCGAGCCCCCACTGAAGATGACCCAAGAAAGCGCTCTCATCTTCCCCTTCCTGAACAAGAGTGACAGTGGCACCTATGGGTGCACAGCCACAAGCAACATGGGCAGCTACACAGCCTACTTCACCCTCAATGTCAATGGTGAGTCTCCTTGGCTCCTCTCTTCCCACAACTTCCTTCTCTGCCCATCTCCTGCTCTCCTGGTGGCAAAACTCTACCCTGTGTGGTAGTGGGGTAGATGGGAAATGCCCACTACTGGAAAGCATGGAACTATCGTTATCAACTGATGGAGAGAGTATCAACTTCATTTACGGGCCCTTCCTGAGGGCATGCGTGCTTGCTGAATAACTCCACCTCCTAGGATTATATATGGCACGTATGCTGCTGCCTACAGGTCCTTTACCAAGGACCCTTTCTGTACATTACAGTTCGGCCAAGAAGAAAAAGAAGCAAGCACTATCCTGAGAGTTGGTCTACTATGCTTCTCTAATGCTACGCCTCCCAAAGGGAAGGGGATTGCCTCTTCCCAAAATTCTTCTCAAAAACTGGAACCATCAGATACCTAGAAAGTTAGGTTCCTTAGTAAATAACTTCCCAGTTGGAGTAGAACAAGAATAGGAATGGTAACTCATAGTTGTAATTGCAGCGTAGGGAGGCAGAGTTGGCTTATTTCACTTGGTCAGCTCTCAGGTATTGAGAGATGACCCTACTCAAGAAATCAGGTAGATGGCATTCCTTTGGCCTGTACAGTTAATGCATGCACAGGCATGTACATTAGCACACGCATGTGCATATCCATACAAACACAAAAGATTCAAGGGACATGACAGGCTAGAAAAGAGGTAGCTTTAGGAGAAGTTAGTAGGGATTTTTTTTTTCTTTTCTTTTCTTATTTTGAAGAGATCAATGGCATTGAAGCCCTTCCAGAAAGTCTTCAAGCCTCTCGGCAGAGTAGAGGAAATACTGAAGAAACTTCACAGTCTTTCCTCATTTGAAATACCCAGTAAGGCAGGTAGTGGGGTCCCTAAGACTCAGGCTTCCAGGGATCAGAAAGAGGCCTGAGTGCCTGAGACCTGAATGTATACATTGGTGATTATGACTCCTGAGACAACCTCTCAGCCCATGGGAACTCCTCAACATAACAACCGGACTAGTGCAAGATTCCCAGTGCTACAGCAAGACACTGGGACCTAGGTTCAGTCTCTAGATATCTCCAGAGCAGTTGTGATGGTGACTGGCAGTAAAGAAAGTTTATGCGCAGTTGGTATCTTCCTGATCTTTCTGCCCTGGGCTAACAAGCTAAGCCGGAGTAGGTTGAAGGTTTGTGAGAGTGCTGACGCCTGGTGGCAGAAGGAGTTACTGCAGCCTCTTCGGGAATCCCCTGTGTGAAAACTTGCCAGGAATAAAAGGAAAAGTACATACACCTGAAGACAGGAGTTGGCTATTGACAACCCCAGAGGTCACTTTGACAGTGGAAGACTGTGTTTTTTCGAAGAAATTTTTACTTCTATAGCTTCCATAGAAAATATCCAGGATTGATTTTCACAGTGGGCCACAGTTCATGTTTCATCGCTCATCTTCCCTTAAATCACATCATTTCACCAGCTCTATCATGGAACAACTGGCCACCCTTGCCCTCTCTCCCAAGCCAAACATTAAAAAAAAAAGCATAAGTGTTTTCTTTTCAAATAAGGCATAGAAAGTCAAGGAACTAAAAGACTGGACCAGTCAAGCCTGAGGAAACAAGGTAGAGAAGAAAAAAAAATATGGAAGTCAATGAGGCTGAAAGACTCAAGCTGATTCCAAGGAAAAACAGCAGCCCTCCTTTGTGTGGGCAAGTTATAGCTGTAACTAATGTAACTATAGCAACATCAGAACTGTCCTGGGTTTCTGAACACAGTTGGGGCTTTCCTCTTGGTACAGGTTGTCCTATGGGATCAGTCTACACCTGTCATGAATGGTGACTTTTGTATAGCTAATGGAAGGAACACCAGTAATCATGGGAGAAATTGAATCTGTCCTTGTGTACAAACCTTTGGATGATGTCAAAGTAGAGATGAACTCCTGGACCTCCTTCCTTGGATAGGTCAGAAGATTGGATTTTCCTGGATCACTAATCTTCCTTTCCAAGAAGGAATTACTGAAGAAAAAGACTAGATATATTCAAGAGAGTATAGGCTGGAGAGTTATAGGAAGAAAGAATGAATACCAGGAGCAGAGATGTCAAATTCTTTGGGATAAAGTCCAGGTGTCACAGCCCTGATTGGGATAAGGATGTTTGGGCAGAGACTGATGTCCTGGGCTCATCCTAGAAAAGGGGATGCTTTCCTAAGTCATATCAGATTATAACTTTGTTCTCTAGGGAAGCTTACAAGTCTTGTATACTGGTGGCATGGTCTAGCATTCTTTTTTGCAAGGAGTTGTCCAACTGCTTAATTCTTGGATCCATTGGCTTTTACTGTTTCTTCCCCATCTGATCTTCAGTCTATGCACAAGTGGCAAAGAATTCCCAAAAGGGGCTAGTGCAGAATACGAGACAAGATATTCAAAGACATGGGAGATAGTCATGGAAGAGGAAAACACAGGTGTGTGTTGGGGGGGGGGAGAGAGAGAGAGAAAGAAGGGAGGAGGCTGGGGTAGAGAAGAGGGAGGAAGAGAATTTTGATATTGGTCATAGGCATTAAAGTAATGATCTCTGACTAAGGTCAAGCTTTGATGCCAAGAAAGCAACTTGTTCAGTGAAAGCTGATTTGTTTATTGCCTGGTGAATACATTAATTTTCTTTAACAATTACTATGGTGATATCCACTTGAGTACTAACTAAGGCATGTACCCTGTTCTTGCATACAACTCCTGGGTTCTCCTGATGTTGGTGTCTATTCTCTTCTGTGAGATCAACCCCAGGCAAAATCAGCATGTGAGTTAAAAGTCCTCCCCAGCTCTAACTGTATGTCTGTCTTCCCTGCAGACCCCAGTCCGGTGCCCTCATCCTCCAGCACCTACCACGCCATCATCGGAGGGATCGTGGCTTTCATTGTATTCCTGCTGCTCATTCTGCTCATTTTCCTTGGACATTATTTGATCCGGCACAAAGGTCAGAGGCCTCAGGAGGACTTGGGTGGGTGGGTGTCAGGAAAGGACAGACAGCAAGAGGGCTTCAGAAATGTCCCTGTAAACTCACTCAGCCCCCTTGGGTGTCTTGAGAAAGAAATGCAGCCAACCCCTGCGATCACGGGGCGACCTCACAGTCAAGCCTGATCACTTGGTAATCATCCAAGCACAATCCAACCTACCCACTCAGCCAGCTGCTCCTCAGTGCTCCGCCTTCATGTCTCTTCTAACCAGTCTTTAGCTCCTTCCTTCTTGCCCTGTCTTCTTTTCCATCTGTTTAGCTTCTTTTCCCTTCTTTGATCTCTTTACTCTTCCTCCTCTCCCATATCTTTTCTTTGCTCTGTTTTACTTTCCCTCCTAGTCTGTTACTACTTCCAACCAGCAGCCTAGCCGCCTAGATTGGTCATGTCTAAGTCATACATCCAGTCCACATGTACATATATAGACACACACACACACGCAGGCACGCACGCACACACACACGCACACAAATGTCTCTTATATGCCTTGCTTACATTATAGATGAGATTTTGGTTAGGGGTAGGATTCATTATTCATGGGGGTGTGGTCAGGTGAGGATTGTTGGCAGCAAAATGCAAATTACCGAACACGGGGTGGAAGAAAGCTCCAGGCAAGAGAAAGATGAGATGAGCAATGTGTGAGTGGGTGGGTAGGAAAGTGGGCAGGGTGGACTTTCAGAGGCTGAGAAGCTTCTGAAAAGAGGAGCTTCTGTCTCCACACAGGAACCTACCTGACACACGAAGCGAAGGGCTCCGACGACGCCCCAGATGCGGATACAGCCATCATCAACGCAGAAGGCGGGCAGTCAGGAGGGGACGACAAGAAGGAGTATTTCATCTAGGGGCACCCACACACCTTCTGCGCCCCCCAGGGGCCCCATGGGGACTGCTGGGCTGTCACCAACCTGGACTTGTACAGAGCGACCCCAGGGCCGCCCCTCCCGCTTGCTCCCTGGCCCACCCAGCCCCCTGTACAGAATGTCTGCTTTGGGTGCGGTTTTGTACTCGGTTTGGAATGGGGGGGGAGGAGGGCGGGGGGGAAGGGTGGGTTGCCCTCAGCCCTTTCCGTGGCTTCTCTGCGTTTGGGTTATTATTATTTTTGTAACAATCCCAAATCAAATCCGTGTCCAAGGCTGGAGAGGCAGGGGCCATGGGGCTGAGGAGAGCAACAAACCGGCAATGTTCAGAGAAGGAAGTTGGAGGGATTAGAAATGAATGAGGAGTAGCGCTGGTTTGGAGGGTGGGGACCTTAACACAGCCCTCCTTCCATTCTCGCAACAAATCAGCCTCCCGGGTGGCTCCAAGGAACCTGGGAATGGAAGTAGGAGCTTGTGGCGGCTCTTCCTCTGCCAGCCATGTACTACAGACAGGGAGACAGGTATTATTGGAGTGACCAACCTCTTCCATTACGTAAGAAAGGACTGAGTAGGAGAGTCTTCAAGAAGATGTGACCTGAAGACAGCATGCGGCCACACAGGGATCCTGGGCTTCAACATGTCCCTCTCAGAGAGAGTAGATTTCAAGGGAGAGAGGATTGTGGAAATGGCCCTATCCACCCATTGCCCTGACATGATGAACCAAGCTAGGCTCTTTTAATCTGCCCTTGGGGGACAGTATAGCTCAGCTTTCTCTCCTAGCTCCAGCAGCTGTGGAAAGAGGCAGCGGTGAGCCTGAACAAGTGTCTGCTGCCCCCACCATGGAGGGGCCCAAAACTCTTACCCAAGACCCTGGACTGTTGCACGGCAACCGCATTGCTCGGCAACTCCTCCTCCTCCACCCTGTGTCACCCTGTGCCCTTTCCTGCTCCCTGTGCCAGCCCTCAGTCCCTCCTCCCTCAGCAGCCAGGCAGACATGACAACAAAATTACTAAAAGGAGCTTCACTGCAGTGAGCTGTTTCCTGCCCAAACCGAGGGAATAATGTGAACTCTGTGCATGTGTGTATGTGTGTGAGTGTGTGTGTATGTGTTTGTGTGTGTAAGTGTGCATGGCTGTGTGTAGATGTGTGTTTATGTGAACAAGAAGCAAAGAGATTGAGAAGAAGGACAGGGGTCCTGGGTGTGTGCAAAAGGCATGGGACAAGTGAGGTGGGTTTTGGGAGTGGATGGTTTCTAGTCAGGGTTTGTTTACGGTGGGAGGCTGCTCCATCCAAGTCATTCCCAAACCACTCTAGATGTCTATCTGAGAAAGAGAGGGGTCCCAGTATGTGGTTTGCCCTGCTGTGCATTTGGCCCTCTCTGAAATACCACACTTTCACCACCCTTCCCTGGACCTCCTGTCTCTGAGCCACGGAGCCGGGCCCACAGCCTCCGCTATGCACCCTCAAGTCTCTCCCTGGCACTGACCCTGGATTCCCATCCTCTCTGACTAGAGAACTGAATCCCCCTCACAGCTTTTAGTTTACCGTCTTCCTTCTTATGGCCAAGCTGGTTGCTGTGGAGATGAGATTGCTCACCCTCTCCATCCCGGCTGGCCTGTCCCTTAGACCTAGGATGCTCTTGGCATCCCTCTCCCCACCCTCCAGCATGTCCTCCCTGCTCTGACAACAGGTGTGCAAAATGGGGCAGCTGCAATCCAGCAGGCCTGCCCACTCCTTCAGTTCAGGTAATACCTTCATAAATCTTCCAGCCCTTGGTTAGGGTCCTGGGCACTCCAGGCAGCTCCTTGCTTAAGCCAGGACTTCTCCTCTTATAGCAGCAAGGGAGTCCTGGGCCTCCACGCTGGGCTCATTTTTAGGCTCCTTGTCTCCCAGCACCTGCTTTTGGGAAAGCGACTTTTCCTCTTTGAGCTGAACCACTCTGTCCATATTACACAGAAGCCATATTTGTACCAGGCGGGGCGGGGAGGGGGGACGGGGCCGTTGTGCTGTGTGTGTCTGTCCGTGGGCAGGGGTGGGGGAAGGGAGCAGGGAAGGGATCGTGTATCTTTATAATCTTTCTAACTCTCCTGTGCTAATCTCAGAGGGACCACCCTCAATATATCTGGATTATCCATGTGGTCAGGCTGCCTCCTTTCTGCTACTCTCACTGCTGGCTGGGCTGCATGCAAATGAGGACTGTCCTCATGTCCCTGGCACCTGCCACTCAAAGGATACTGCCTCTTTGCCATGCCACTCTCTGGAGCACCTGTGAGTGGGGTCAAGGGAGAGTGTCTGAGTCTTTTGCTTTCTGAAGTACATTTGCATTTAAAGCGTGTCATCCAACTGCTACCCTGTTACCCTCTGTCCAGCAAGGCTGACCAACACAGGGGTGGAGGTGAAAACTCCACCCACACCATCCAGGAAGTAGAGCTTCACCATTTTTTACCAGATTCCCTTTCTATCTCCCTCCTGTTAAACCTGAAAATTGACCTTAGTAATCAATTCTTCTGAAGCTCAGTCTGAGAGGCTTAATGGGAAGCTACATATGGGAGCACGTATCCTGTATTTCTCCTGGCCAGAGAAACGCCAGTTCTACCTTCCATCAAAAACTTTACGTATTGCTAAGATGCCAAGCTAATGAAGTATTCTTACAGCCTGTGTGTCTCACAACAGAATATGAATAGAGATTACCCAGTGGGCTATAGTCTCACATTAAAGTATGCTATCCCGTGATCCCCCTGAGACTATTTTGATGTGTCAGACCATGTGTTCTGCCTGGTGTGAGAGATGCATTCATTGAGTCCATAGGTGGTGAGGCAAATGCTCAATTGCTCCCTGAAGGAGAGTCCTTAAAGAGCCTTGACAGGCCTCCAGTCTTCTGTCCCTCTTACCTCTAGATAAGAATGCGCACACCCAGGCACCACCCAGCACCTAGGACACAGATGGGAGCACACTGATACCCAACACAAGCATACAGATAAATAGGTGTGTTCCTCTGCCACACACAAAAGGCCTTCAGTTAAATGCATATTCTCAGTCTGGACAGAACCAACAGCAAATACCATTATCATGACTTCTCCCAAACAAGGGAACTTTTGAACTTTTTCCTTGGATGTCATTCAAAGGAATTGAGAACACAGAGAGTCATCAGATTCCTGGTCACTCCAACTTCCCAGCACTTCTCTCTCTTATCTCTGCTTCACAAGTCACCCCTGGCCCCTCATCCTTCCCTTTCTGGAAAAAGCCTTGATTTCTACCTTGCCTCCTTTGGGGAAATTCTCCCCTTTGTGGACCTCACCATGTTCTTTTCCTGAGGCCATTCTGACCAGCCAGATCCAACTTCAAAACAGGAAGCTCTGTGACAGAGTGCTATATGAACCCAAGTAGGAAGTAGGTGTGACACCCCCCCCCCCACACACACACCCAGGCACTGCCCAGAACTTGAGAGCATTCTTTAGCCCTGGGTACTTATCTTGGAGCCACCGCTGCTGACAGAGAGTCCGGGCCCTGTACTCTGCCTTCCCTGAACCTGCAGTGCCATGGGGAACTGTCTGCACCCACAGCAGGTGAGTGTGGGGCCATGCCTCTGTCCCACTGCTCCTTTTACTTACTTACTTCTCTGTGCTTTATGCCCTTCCCTTTTCTCATCATCCTCTACCCCTGTGTTTTCTCTGTTTCTGATTCAGAAGTCTTTCCCTTTTCTTTCCTGTTTCCTGTTCCCACCCTATTTCTTCTCTCTCCACCTTTCAGCCAGTCCCAGCAGATTTCTTCTCATCTTTCCTCCATCCTTCTGTTCTTCTAAGTCTCTCTACGGCTCCAGTGGGGCTTCTCCCTGGCTCTGACCATTCAGGTTCCTTAGCTTCCCCCTTCATCACAGTCACTGCACCCAACTCCTTCAGGCAGATCCTCTGTCTTCCAAACCCAAGTCCCCCCCATCCATCCGTCCATCCCTGAGTGTACCCTCTTTATTGAGGTGCTAGATACCCTGACTCTCCCTTCTGGGTATACCCTGTAGGTGGACACGAGTGAACTTCAGTTTATTTTGGAGAACTGGAATTATACGGCTGAGGATAACTTCTCCTATGAAAATCTGGATTACTACAGCGTGGTGGGAGCTGCTCCCTGCCACTCCTGCAACCTGCTTGAGAAGTTTTCACTGCCCTTCTTCATCCTCGCCAGTGTCTTAGGCATGCTGGCAAGCGGTGTGGTCCTCTTCGCAATTCTCAAACCCCTCTTTCACTGGCAGATCTGCCACAGCCGGCCCATTCTGGCACAGTTGGCAGTAGGCAGTGCCCTCTTCAGTGATGCGGTGCTCATCCTGACACCAGGCTTAAACACTGCCCAGAGCACAGCCCTGTGTGGCCTGGGCTACTGGGTCTGGTATACTTCAGCTTTTGCCCAGGCTCTGCTGATTGGATGCTATGCATGCCTGAACCCCAATCTGAGCATGGGTCAAATTCCTGGCCTCACCTTGGGACTTACTGTGGGACTTTGGGGAACAGCTGGTCTCTTAGGGCTACCAGTCACCCTGGCCAGTGATGTTTACAATGGTGTCTGCACCCTTCCGTCCAGTAGGGACCTGAAAGCTTTGAAGTACACACATTCTGCGATCTGCTTTATCATCTTCAATGTATTGCCTCTGGCCCTTTTGGTAGCCAAGGGGCTGAAGAAGTCACTGAACAAGGGTCTAGGCCCCTGGGTTAGTGTCCTGTGGTTCTGGTTCATTTTCTGGTGGCCTCACGGCATAGTTCTCATATTTGATACTTTGGTGAGGTCCAAAATCATACTTTTGCAATCGTGTCCATCCCAGCAGATTCTTGATGCAATTTCGGACCTGGCAGAAGCACTGTCTGTATTACACTGTGTGGCTACACCCCTGCTCCTGGCGCTGTTCTGCTACCAGACCACCCGTAAATCTTTGCCCTCTCTGTCTCTCCCCACAAGACAGTCTTCTCATGTGGAGGTCTTTGTGGGCAAATCCTAGTTCCTCACCCACATGTCAACTTAAATTAAAGTCTATACTGCTTTTATGAAGTGGGTGCTCTCTTATTTTGTCTGGAGTTAAAGAGAAGGAAACCCACCTTGGAGAGAAAGGAGGGTGATGCATGCCTGGCTATCCTGCTTCTAGAGCTGTCCTGGAAGGAAGAGAATGGTGGATAAGCATCCTCAGGGAACACACATGTTCTCTTGAGGTGAGTGATTGCTGTCTTCTTGCGGGAACAGAGAAGAGAAGCAATTGCGTGAGTGGAGAAGATGAACTTTTAAGACTACATGTCAAGGCTTAACCAGCAAAAGAAATAGAAGCCATTACAGCAAACAAGTGGAGTGGGTATAGAAACCAAAGGAAGGTGGGGCAGAGGTGAGTGGCAGACAGCAAAGCCCTAAGAAATAGCACTGCTACCCTGTCTGACCCTCTCAGGCATTTCTTATTTTCTTTGTCCTCTCTGGCTTTGTTTGGAGGTCAGAGAGGTGTAAATGAAAGAAGAATGCTCAGGGACACTGGGGAGCAGTTGCCCTGTTAGGGCTGCCAGTCACCTTGGCCAGTGATGGTTCCAATGGCCTAGTCCAGGGCATAAAACAAGATAGCGTAAAATGTTCCTTCTTAGGTGCTGTCTTTTGCAAATTAATTCTTCATCATGACCTAGACAACACCCCATCTTCTTGCTCCCCTCTTCTCTTTCTGTCTCTTCCCTCCTTTCCTCCCTCTCTCCTTCCTTTCCTTCCCCCTCTCTCTGCATGCACGTATGCACTCTTGAAGGTTTCTTTCATTACCATGTCCTTGATTCCTCTGTATGTTTCTCTCTCTCTCCCTCTCCCTCTCCCTCCCTCTCTCTCTCTCTCTCTCTCTCTCTCTCTCTCTCTCTGTGTGTGTGTGTGTGTGTGTGTGTGTGTGTGTGTGTGTGAATGCATGTGTGCTTGGGCAAATGTGAATTTGTATATTAGTCCGCATGTCCCTGTCCATGTGTCCGTGTGTCTGTGTGTGTGTGTTCTTGCAGGTTTATTCTTCTTCATGACTCTTCTCCCTCCCGTGTGTGTGTGTGTGTGTGTGTGTGTGTGTGTGATGCATGTACATCTGTCTCTCAATCTGTGAGGAACCATATCCCTGCTAGAATAGCTGCCTGAACGCAGGAAAACGTGTCTATGCATGAGCTTACATCTCAGTCAGTATCTGCAGTACACACACTCTTGTGTATGCACAAGCCTCTTGCAGAGCCCCCTTCCCAACTTAATTCTGTTCCCCATCTATTCAGGCTACGAGAACAGTAATCCTTATTCAATAAGTTCGTTCACCTTGGTGTTTATGTCCAGCCTTTCTGCATGTGGTGAAAAGAAGGAAGAGATCCTGATGTTACAAATGGTGAAGCCTCTAAAAGGAAGACAACCTGTCCCAATTCATCTTCTGACTGGAATTGCTCAAGTTTCCCTTTCAAAGCCCAGCTCTCAAAAGGAGCCTTTACTCTACACCAGTCATTTTTTTTTTATCTCCACCTCTTATGCACCCCACTATCCTTTACCCTACACCAGTCTTTTTTTTTTCATCTCTTATACACCCCACTAGCCTAGGAAATCTGTCCCCTACACGTGCCCAATTCTCTGTCTGCTTGTAACTTTGTAGGGCTTTCTCCATGCTTTACTTAGCAAGGCTTGGGTAATCATTAGGAGGACAGCAAGCAAAACCCTCTTCATACGGAGCACTCTTAACGCAGGCAAACTCACCCTTGTACCTGGAAAAGCCACAGAAGGAGCTTCTTCCTGCAGCCCACCTCAAGCCCACCCAGGAAAACTTGAGTAGGTATTTACATCAGTCTGAATCCACTTAACAGGCTTTCCATACTTTCAAAGATGCTCTCTACTGTTCTCTTTCCTACAGTATCTGTGCATGACTTTCTGGGCTTAAGGATTGAGAGGAAAGTGCACAAACGGGGCAGAAGTGACTTAAAACATCCTAGGCTGGAGGGTGCAGAAGGATCAGGGAATTTTCCTGGGTGGGTGCCTTGACAAAGCCTCTAAATCTCCCTCCTCTGGTCTCTTAGCAACCACCAGGTTTAGTTCCTGATTGGTGCATCATAAATTGAAAGGCGGGATTGTGGGACCGATTGAGACGCGGGAGACACTCTGAAACATAAAGAAAGATAAAGAAAAGGAGGGAAAAGAAAATAATTTGCAGACCTGAATTATGTTCAGGTCTCCAACCACAGGGACAGTGAATGTGTCCTAGTGTTTTCTTTTTTTTCTGGTTACTTTCTAGTTGCCATTTACGTGCACACAAACACACACACAAGCACACACACACACACACACACACACACACACACACACAGACACACACAGTCTCTAACTGCTCTCTCAATCTTTTCAGATGTTCCTTTCCTCTCTTACAAGGGGCTAGATTTAGAGGCCGACCTAATTGAAGGGGTGGTAAGGCTGCTCTGACTCCCAGATTTTTCTAATGTTCAGGGGAGACTTGGCCTAGCACTGTCTATTCTGCCATGATCCCATAGTCCCAGATGGATCCCGCTCCTCAGTAAGTCTGGGTTGAGAGAGTCCTACTGATAGCTAACAGCTATCACATCTCTTGCAAAGGGAAGGCAGAAACAGAAGCCAGCAGCTGATAAGAGGTCACAGTGGGTTGGAAGCAAGAATGCTTAGCATTATCTCCTCATTGCCCTCCCCCACTTCTCTGCCTTGCTCAGGGCCCTTTGGGACTGCCCTTTTCCTGCCACTTTGTATATTGCAGATGGCTAGTTCATCCTTATGTCTGACTCTGACTTCAACCAGTCCCAGAAGCTTTCCTCTGGGACTTGCTATCCAGACACACTTAACCCAAAATGGGGTACCACTCTAAATTGGCTTGGAACTTGGCATCTTTCGTGCAGCCCTTCAGGAATACAAATCCTGTTTCCTTAGAATTTAATCTAATGGTTGGCAGGGATTTTAGCTGTGTATGAGTTATTTGGCCTCCTGGCTAAGAAAAAAAATAAAAACATTCCTCTCAGAAAGATGAGAGTCAGGGAAACAAGCTCTGGGGAATATATAAAGCCCTAGGGAGGGTCAATTTACATTAAGGAGAAAGACTTTTTTCTTTAGGAAAGTTTGAATATCACATTGATGCTTATAATTCATTTATTTCTGGCTGAGCCCCACACCCTAGAGGATTTAAGAAACAAATGCATGTTTCCTAAATTTTTTCATCTACCACCATACCTCTACCCTCCTTCTCTATCTCCCAACACCTTTCTTCTGCAGCCTCCGAGGAATTCTCACTGAGAACTTCTGTGGGATTTCAAACCCAATTCATCGCCAACTCTAATTGCCAGGAATTTGCATGAAAACTATCCTATGCTATCTAATTATTCTGACAACAGCAGTCCGCCGTCTGGGCACGAGGAGAATCGCAGTTTTAATTAACAATAATGCACCTTGCAGATGAATGTGACTGTTTAGGTTAATTAACAAGTCCAAGTGTCTCCAAATCATCTTCTAGACATCTATGGGATTTGGGTGGGAGAGGTACGGAGCACACAGTGGGTGGGGTATTTAAAAAAAATTCAGTTCAGGAAGGGGAAGAGGGAACCGCAAGGAGAAGCTCCCAGACACTTGGGATAGGTTTGGGGACAACACACTGTTGCAAGAGATCAGGCATCCTTTGTGCCACCTTTACATTTAGAACATGCTTTCTATTTATCTATCTATCTATCTATCTATCTATCTATCTATCTATCTATCTATCTATCTATCTATCTATCTATCTA